ATCAAATGCAAGAATTATAATAATAAGTTGCTGTATCAAATGTAACTTCTTGTTGTTATTATCTCTGTCGCTGTGCACTGCTGAGAATTAGTACCAGCCTGTAACAGTCTCGCTGTCTTTCCTGGCTGTTTCCTGGCAGTTGGACGAGACCCTAGCGGAGCGTCTGTGGGGCCTGACCGAGATGTTTCCGGAAGGCATGAGGAGCGCAACAGGAGTGGCGGCTGACTGCTCCCTGGTACTAGCCAAGAAATTCTACAGGTCAGAGTTGTCCGGCTTAGCCTCTGCTCCACCGTCCTGTGACTATCAGCCAGTCAGCGTGGACTGCGAGCTCAAAGTCCCCATGAGAGCCTGCAGCCCAAACCTCATAGACTAACCACCGTTAGAATTACACGGCACAGAAGGAGGCCATTCGGCCCATCGTGTCCGTGACGGCTCTTTGAAAGAGCTTCCAAATCAGTCCCACTCCCCCGCGCTCTCCCCATATCCTCCCCAAATACCTATCCTCTCTCTCATTAAAGTTGTTATCGTTGTTACAGCCTTACATAGATTTACGCGGCATGGAAACAGGCCACTCGGCCCAACCCAGTCCCTACCGGTGTTTATACTCCACACAAGTCTTCCCCTGTACCTCCCTCCCTCCCTCTTCACCCTCATGTGAAGATCTAGTTTCCTCTTGAATCTACACTGTCTGATTCAACCACTGCTACAGGCAGCGAGTTCCACAGTCTCACTGTCCTCTGTGTGAACTAGTTCCTCCTAAGTTCCCTTTTAGATCCCTCAAGTCGTGACATTCATGTCCCCTATTTACGACTCCCCAACCAGTGAGAATAGACTATTTATCAAACCCTTTTTATAACTTTAAGCACTTCTGTTTCCCCTCTTAAATGTCTCTTCTCTAGACTGAGACGCACAGTAAATGGTAGCACAGGGAGAGACGATAACACACAGCACAAGGGATGAGGTGAATGAGCAATTAATCTGCTTTTAGTCGATATGCTCAGTTCCCTCGTTCCCGCCTTCAACGCCCTGATCTCTGTGACTTGCTAAAACCTAACCCTAACCTCCGCCTTGCCCCCGCCCTGATCCCAACCTCCAGCTCGGGTTCACATCCCTGACTGTCGAGCGCCTTGGGACCTCCTCCTGACATAAAAAGGCTGTTGTAAATGTCATGTGTTGTTGTGAATTGCTCTCATTGTTTAACTCTACCCGTGAGGCGCTGTGTAAGGGCAGGTGTTTGGCGGTGGGTGGGTGTATTTGGCTGTGGGTGGGTGTATTTGGCAGTGGGTGGGTGTGAGTGTGGTTTGCCTGTGTTTGGCTGTTTGATGGAGCCTCACCTCAAATCTCTGCTTCTTTTCACAGCTTCAGCCGCTCGGCCCTGTGGATCTGCACCACCTCCTTCATGATCCTGGTTTTACCCGTCGTGTTCGAGACCGAGAAACTACAACTAGAACAGCAGCAGCTTCAGCAACAGCGACAGGTACAGGCAGAGAGAGAGAGCGGGTTATAGACAGAGAGAGGAGTACAGTCAGAGAGAGCAGTACAGGCGGAAAGAGAGAGGGTTACAGGCAGAGAGGGGTGTACAGTCAGAGAGAGAGTACAGAAGGGTACAAAACAATAAAAAACAAAATGACATTTACATGGAACCTTTCACGTCAGGAGGACGTCCCAAGCCTGTCAGGGAATTGGGCCCGAGCTGGATTGGTATGAGGAGGGGGTGGAGGCAGGGAGGGTAGGAGGGTGATACGGTTGAAGAGGTGGGGTATTGAGATGGGTCTTGAAGGAGGTAAGGGAGGGGGTGAGGCAAAGGGACTGGGATGGAGTTCTAAAAGGTGGGGGAAAAGACAAGCTTGGGGCAGGGAGGGAGAGAGTTAGAGAGTGGTGGGGGAGTGGGGGCAGGGAAAGGGTATTTCAGGTGGGTAGAGAGGGGAGAGTAGAGGCTGGGTATTGGGGAGGGAGCAGGGAGAGTGGGGGAGGAGTGTGAGAGGAGATAGGTAAGTGAGTAGCTGGCTGTGGAGGGCACTATATAAATGCAAGTTGTTGTTTCTCTCTATTCTCCTCACTTCCGCCCCACCGTCCCCACAGATCCTGCTGGGACCAAACACAGGGATGTCGGGGGCCATGCCGGGAATGCTAGCACCACCGCTTCCGGGGAAAATCTAACGGATCAAAGACCCGGATAGAGGCTGGGGGTGGGTGGGGGAGGGATAAGGAATCGGAATGTGCTACGGTGCAAGTCGGTGGGGGGGGGGAGAGATGGGGTGTTGGGGACACACAGGGAAATGCCAGGGAAATGCTCCAATCTCCCACTGTTCCCATCCGTCCAATAAGTGGTCGAGATCTGAAACGGGGGCTTGGTGTTTGGGGCTGTCACTGACTGCGGGGGTTTGGGGGCTGAGGGTTGTGGGAACTTAAAACACTTCAAATGAAGGTGTCTGGGTTTGTAAAGTGTGGGTGTGGCGCGCGTGTGTGAGAGAGAGAGAGAGTGTGTGTGGAGGAAACGGTAGATACATTCTTGTTGGAGCTGACTGGGGGCAGGGAATGCTCCCCCTCAGCTCCTGTTAACCCTGCAGCCAAAGCCCTAACTAACAGGGAGGGTGGTCATAGCCTGACAAGCAGCAGGAAAGCTTGCCAGACAGCGCTCTCATGGCCAAGCTGTGGGTTTAGCTGGTTAGACTCCAGCAGTTCCCCCCCCCCCAACGCACACTCTGGGCTCCCTCCCCCCAAGCCTTGGCTCTTGCCAACCTGCGCCTAATACTCTCCGGAAGAGAGAGAGAGAGAGAGCGCATTCCATTCCAACCATCTATCTCTGGGATTTCCAGGTGTAGGAGGGATGTGGGGAATTCTCAGTTGAGTTTGGAAATTCTTGAGCAACGGTGATGGGTTTCCACGTTGTCAGCCACCCAGCTTGGGGGAAAAAACTGGGGCGCAATCAAAGAGGAGGGCAGCTTTACCCACACAGCACTGGGGTGGCGGGGTGTGGGGGAGAGACACCACAGGGAAAAAAGGCTGAGGTGGGTGGGGGAGCAAATCTGCTTCCTTCCTTGACCAGCCACACTCAGCGAGAACGAACAGGAGTGAGGGAGTTGGGATGGACGCCACCCGGCGTGAAGAAAGCTATATAAATACACGTTGTTGTCTGTGCGGTGGAGCTTCACCCAGTAATACTGATCAACGGGAGGGAGAGAGAGGGAGGGGGATCTTACAAACACAAACCCAGAATTCTTAAGTGTTCCACACACCGCACTTGTCTCCTCCGCCCCCAAACGGTTTGTCTTTGTCCTCGGTGCGCATGCCATCACCGTCTCGTGGAACGTTGGAAAAGTGTAGCAAGAGACTTCTCCTCATCATGTGTTTACTACTCAGTCACAGCCTTTGTGTGTGGGTGTTAGCGTGTGTGTTGTGTGTTAGCGTGTGTGTTTGTGTGTGAGTATGTGTACAACATCCCCTTTGTGTTGCCTCCTCTCTTTTCCCCCATCCTGTTGCCCCCTCGTTCTCTGTTCACTCGCTCTGGCATCATTTGAGGCAGATGGATTCCTAAATCGACCCCCAACTGTGGTTGCCGATTCCACAGGCTGGGAGTTTGGGGGTGAAGTGTGAATCTGGTGTCAAATGCAGGGCTATTAAGATTCCAGAAACTTTCTATACTTTGTAGAACTCTCGACAGGGTGGGGAAGAGGGAATTGGCCTGAGACGCCCATTAAATTATTGGGGATTTTTTCGGGTGCTCGCTGTGTCTTTGCACCCCTCAACTGACGTCAAGTTTGAACGAATGCAGCTCAGATGTCGCTGTCCACAGCTGTTGACCACCGGTGCTGGTGTTTGTGGAGTGTAAGCTGGGGGCGGAGCTTCTGGCCAGCGCAGTCCATACTGTCACCGGTCTCCACACGGCCTGTCTGCACTCCGACCGTCCCCAGCCCGAGAGGAGCCGCCTGCTGCAGGTCAGCCCCCGGCCCCGCAGCCCCACCCCCGGCCCGGCCGTCCCCCCAGCCCTGTCCTGCCCACACCCCAGTCCTGCCCACACCCCAGTCCTGCCCCCAGCCGCACCCTGGTCCCGCCCCCACCCACCTCGCCCCACGCCTGAGCCCCAGCCACCCCATCCCTGGCCCTGCCCCATACGCCCCAGCTCTGTCCCTGGCCCCGCCCCACAGCTGAGCCCCCCCATTCTGTCACACACCACACCGCTCATTTCGTCACTCGCTCACGCATTCACTTGGTTTCTCTCATTCTCCCCCCCCCCCCCCCCCCCCCAGGGCCTGCTTGATGGCCAGTACGAGGTGCTGGTCAGTACTGGGGTCCTGGGCCGTGGCCTGGACCTGCTTAATGTCTCTCTGCTCATCAACTTCGACATGGCCGCCAGCGTGGATGAGTACGTTCATCAGGTACAGCCGCCCCTCCCTCCCTCCTTCACTCACTAATCCCCAAAACTCCATCCCTCTTTGTTGGGTCTCCTGCAAAATGCCTCTCACTCACTCTCTCACACTCTCTCTCTCTCTCTTATACTCTCTCTCTCTGTTACACTCTGTCTCCCCCTCTCTCTTTCTCTCTCTCTCTCTCTCTCTCCCCCTCTCTCTCTCACACTCTCTCTCCCTCCCTCTCTACCTCTCTCTCTCACCGCTCTCTCTCACACACTCCCCCTCACTCTCTCACATCCTCCCTCTCCCTCTATCACCCCCTCTCTCCCTTGCTCTCTCCCTCTCTCTCTCTCACACTCTCTCTCTCCCCCCCTCTCTCTCACATCCTCCCTCTCCCTCTCACACCCCCTCTCTCCCTCTCTCTCTCATACACACTCTCTGACAACCCCTCTCTCCCTCTCTCTCTCACACACACTCTCTCTCACCCCCTCTCTACCTCTCTCTCAGGTTGGTCGAGCTGGGCGGTTGGGTCAGGGAGGCACCGCCATCACTTTTATCAATAACTCAAGCCGCCGGCACTTCTTGTCCCTGGTGTCGCGGTTGGAGGCCGGAGGGACGCTGCTGCCGGCGGAGCTGCTCAACTCTCCGTACCTCAGCCAGCAACGGCGCCGGGCACAGCGCCAGGGAGAGGCCCGACAGCACCAGACCGTCACCACAGAGAACATCCTCGACCTTATCCATAAACACCATCGCAGCAAACGCTCACAGCGCTGAGCAGCCAGGCACCGAGACCTCAGCCAGGAACCCAGACCTCAGCCAGGAAACCAGCCCCCGACCAGGAGCCGAGACCTCAACCAGGAACGCTGACTCGGGAATGTGAGAGGTCTCGGCTCCTGGTCGGGGAAAGAGAAGGGAGTTTCTCTCTCTCCAGGTGTCCAGGCTGACAGGTAAAATCATTCACTCACTTCACAGTTGTTTGTGAGATATCGTTGCTGTACAGAAAATGGCCAGCCTTGTTTGCCTACAAAATACACAGTCACTACACTTCTGGGAAGCACTTTGAGACGTCCTCCTGACGTGAAAGACTGTGTAGCTACAATTTTATCTGGCCAACAGATAAAATTTCTCGCTCACTTCATGGCTGTTTGAGGGGACGTCGCTGCACAAATTGACTTCCTTGTTTTCCCACAAAACATACAGTCACTACACTGTGAAGCACTTTGAGACGTCGTGATGCGAAAGGCACTGGAACAAGTACAAGGATTGTTGTTATGTTCTTGCAGAGTCACAAAGTGTCTGTAAAGTGTAGCGTGAGCTCAAGAAGCCAGTCTTCTGACAAATTGGTGGCTCGAGCCGGAATAAAATGGGGTTTGAGCCTGAAATGTTGATAAGTTACTGTGTTTGAATTTGTTTGAAACAACTGCACATTATTCTGTTTTTAAGGAAATGTTTCATGTTTGCATTGAAATGGCTGCTGAATTTTTACAATAAACTGTAGCCTTTGTTGAGGTGAGGAGTTTGAAGTTGATCCATTTGGAGACGGAGCCAGTGGGAGCCTGACGAGGATCGGGGCGATCGAGGTGGTGGTGGTGGGGGAGGGGAGCAGTGGAAGGCATCGGAGAGGAGTGGGTTTGAGAGGTGGGAGGTGATTGGGATCATAGTGTGGAACAAGTCAGGGTCTGATCGCTTCCCAGAACCCGATCGGGTTTGAAACAATTAGTCCATATGGTGACCGACTTCTGGGAACAGTTCCTATCGTGTTCCTGGGGCCACATTTTGCCCTGTGTTGAGTTCAGCAACAAACTGAGCCAGAATAACAACATCCTAAACCAGATACATAGAGAAACACAGCTATTAATCCACAAGCTTCTCCAGCGGCAGCCACGGTGGGGGGAGTGGGGGTCAATGTTTTTATTTTTAAAAGAAGACAAAATGCGGCAGATGCTGGAAATCTGAAATAAAAACAGACGTCTCTGGTAACACTCAGTAGCTCAGGCAGCATCTATAGAGAGAGGAAAGTGGGTGAACGTTTCAGGTCGTTAACCAGAGGTCACTTTCCTCTCTCCATAGATGCTGCCTGAGCTACTGAGTGTTACCAGAGACGTCTGTTTGTATTGCAATGTTTTATACAGTCTCCGTCCCCAGATTTGGTTTACAAAACATGGTCATCCTGAGAATGTGCTTCACCTTCAGGCTGAGGATGGCCAGAGATTAAAATACAGTTTGTAGCCCAAAGTCCAGTAAACACTCGGCCCAAATAGCCATAAGTCCACCAAAAGTCCTGCAACCTCGTGGTTAGAGCATTGGCCTCGCAACACGAGAGGACCTGGTTTCAGTTCCCGGGCGAAACGTTGGGCAATGTTTCTCACTCTGCGCAGACGCCTCTGTTTACAGCACTGAGTTCTCAGTCGATCGACGAATCGCGTTTCTGAGGATAATAATCCCTTAAAATCATAATAATTTGGTCACTTAATCCACGAATGGCTGTGTGGGGGACACTGCTGTGTGTGATTAGTTGCTGAGCAAAAAATAAACAGTCACTACACTTTACACTGAATCGTATTATTATTGTTGTTATTTGTTGTTTAGTATTATTTGTGCACAACCACGTGATGCCTTTGGCCAGTGAGGGGCGTCGGCGACAACCTCAGCCAATCAGAGGAGGGCTAAGGCGGGTCATCAAGCAGCTCAGGGTGAGTGACAGTGCGCGCCGCCAATCAGTGACCTGAAGGCGGGACACCGACGGTGTGTCTCAGTCACACAGCCAATCACAGCGATGCTCAGGCAGGAAGCCTAAGGTGAGACCGCAATTAGCCAATCAGCGGGAGGGGCGGGTCCCGGGCCCCAGAGTGACTGACAGCAGATCGGGCCAATCGTGGCGGACTGGAGAGGCGGGACTTCCTGTCTCCGCGTGACTGTCAGGCGCGGAGGTGAAGCGGAGAGGAGGAAGATGGCGGCGGTCGGCCGCACGGTGGCGGGGACGGGGAGTCGCGCCGTGAAGCCCTTCCTGTCCCGGGACATCAGCGAGGCCAAGCGGCGGGCGCGGGAGCTGTACCGGGCCTGGTACCGCGAGATCCCCAACACAGGTATCGGGGGGCGGGGTCACAGGGGTCACAGTGCAGCCGGGGGAGGGCTGGCGGCCCGCGGGCCGCAGCTGGCCCGCGGGGTGACATTTGGGCGAAATTATCAATATATACAATCAAATGATTTGATATCGTGTGGCGACCTCAGAGACCATGTGGCAACAACAACAACAACAGCAATGACATCTGTAAACCGCCTTTCGCGTGGGACGGAAATCCCAAAGTGCTGGACAGACAGAGTTACAGACCCGGGGTGGGGGAGGGGTGGAGGAGGGGAGGCGAAGGGACTGTGGGATGGAGTTCTGGAGTGGGGGCAGAGTGGCAGAAGCCAGCCACCAATAGTGGGGCGAGCGAGGCGGGGGGTGTGAAGCAGGTCAGAGCCCGCTGAGCAGGGGGAGCGAACAGGATAGTAGGAGGTCAGGATGTGGCAGAGGTCGAGGGGGGGAGCGAGACCATGGAGGGCTTTGAAGGTGAGGACCAGGAGCTTGACCTGTATCCTCTGTGTGATGGGGAGCCTGGTGGGGGTGAGGATGGGGGTGATGGGGTCGGGGAGCCTGGTGGGGGTGAGGATGGGGGTGATGGGGTCGGGGAGCCTGGTGGGGGTGAGGATGGGGGTGATGGGGTCGGGGAGCCTGGTGGGGGTGAGGATGGGGGTGATGGGGTCGGGGAGCCTGGTGGGGGTGAGGATGGGGGTGATGGGGTCGGGGAGCCTGGTGGGGGTGAGGATGGGGGTGATGGGGGCGGGGAGCCTGGTGGGGGTGAGGATGGGGTGATGGGGGCGGGGAGCCTGGTGGGGGTGAGGATGGGGGTGATGGGGTCGGGGAGCCTGGTGGGGGTGAGGATGGGGGTGATGGGGTCGGGGAGCCTGGTGGGGGTGAGGATGGGGGTGATGGGGTGGGGAGCCTGGTGGGGGTGAGGATGGGGGTGATGGGGTGGGGAGCCTGGTGGGGGTGAGGATGGGGGTGATGGGGTGGGGAGCCTGGTGGGGGTGAGGATGGGGGTGATGGGGTCGGGGAGCCTGGTGGGGGTGAGGATGGGGGGGGGGGGGGGGGGGGGGGGGGGGGGATGGGGTCGGGGAGCCTGGTGGGGGTGAGGATGGGGGTGATGGGGTCGGGGAGCCTGGTGGGGGTGAGGATGGGGGTGATGGGGTCGGGGAGCCTGGTGGGGGTGAGGATGGGGGTGATGGGGTCGGGGAGCCTGGTGGGGGTGAGGATGGGGGTGATGGGGCGGGGAGCCTGGTGGGGGTGAGGATGGGGGTGATGGGGGCGGGGAGCCTGGTGGGGGTGAGGATGGGGGTGATGGGGGCGGGGAGCCTGGTGGGGGTGAGGATGGGGGTGATGGGGTCGGGGAGCCTGGTGGGGGTGAGGATGGGGGTGATGGGGGCGGGGAGCCTGGTGGGGGTGAGGATGGGGGTGATGGGGGCGGGGAGCCTGGTGGGGGTGAGGATGGGGGTGATGGGGGCGGGGAGCCTGGTGGGGGTGAGGATGGGGGTGATGGGGGCGGGGAGCCTGGTGGGGGTGAGGATGGGGGTGATGGGGTCGGGGAGCCTGTTTGTTTAGTGTGTGGGGGGAGCGGCTGGTTCTGACCCCACTCTCCTGCTCCCAGTCCATATCTTCCAGTTGGATATCACAGTGAAACAGGGCCACGACAAACTGCGGGAGATATTCGCAAAGAACGCCCACGTGACCGACCCCAGGGTCTTAGACTTACTGGTGATCAAGGTAGGAGCCGGGGCTGGGAGAGGAGACTCGCAGCTCATCAGAGCAGCTCTCAGTGTGTGGGGGGGAGGGGGGTCTTCTCTCATGCTGGGAATCTGGGTGGGGGGGCGCGGCGGGGGGGGGGGGGGGGGGGGGGCGGGGGGGGGCAGGTTAAAACCTCAGGCAAACAGATGAGTGTTTTGTGGATTTTGAAGGGGAGAGAGTGAGACAATGGGAGAGAGAGGGGGAATAATAATAATAATCCTCGCATTTGATATCGCACCTTATTATGTTGCTGAGAGTAGTGAATGCGAGGTCAACAGGCGTGTGTGTGCGTGTGTAGAGTAACAACCTCCCCTTTCTCTCCAAGGTCCTGGAAAGAGTTGTCGCCTCCCAACTGCGCTCTTTCCTCTCCACCCATTCTCTTTTCGAACCCTTCAGTCAGGTTTCCGTGCTGCCCATAGCACAGAAACTGCCCTGGTCAAGGTCACCAATGATATCCTGACCATCTGTGACCAGGGCTCCCTCTGCCTCCTCGTCCTCCTCGACCTATCGGCAGCATTCGATACGGTCGACCACGCTATCCTACTCCACCGCTTGTCCTCCCACCTCAACCTTCAAGGCACTGTCCTTGAATGGTTTAGGTCGTACCTTTCCCACCGTCTTCACTTTGTCTCGACGAATGGCTTCTCCTCCACCCCCCGTACTGTCTCATGTGGTGTCCCTCAGGGCTCTGTCCTCGGTCCCCTCCTCTTCACCCTCTATATGCTCCCCCTGTGGTGACATCATCCGCAGACATGGAGTTAACTTCCACATGTATGCGGATGACACCCAACTCTACCTTTCCTCCTCTACTCTCAACTCCACGACCACCGATGTCCTGACAGCTGCCTGTCCGACATCGAGTCCTGGACGAGAGACAACTTTCTTCAGCTCAACGTGCGAAAAACCGAGGCCCTCCTGATTGGCTCACGTCAGCGCCTCCGCACCTCAGGCGCTGACACCATCAGCATCCAAGGCTGCACTCTCCACCTCTCAAAGCCATCAGGAACCTCGGGGTTCCCTTCGACCCTGAGCTGTCCTTTCTCCCTCACATCCGCACCACAACTGGCACCGCCTTCCATCACCTCCGGAACATCGCCAGACTACGGCACTACCTCACCCCTCACGCGGCTGAAACCCTGGTCCACGCCTTTGTCACCTCAAGGCTGGACTATGGGAACTCTCTCCTCGCCGGCCTTCCCGCCCCTCCCTCCACACTGCAGGTCATTCAGAACTCTGCAGCTCGTGTACTGTCCCGCACCAGACACCGCGACCACATCACTCCCACCCTCACCCTCGCCCTCACCCTCACCCTCGCCCTCGCTCGCCTCCACTGCTCCCCATCCCCCAGAGGATTGATTTCAAGATCCTCATCCTCACCTACAAGGCCATTCACGGCCTCGCTCCCTCCTACCTCTCCAACCTACTATCCCCCTACCTACCTGCCCGTACCCTCCGTTCCTCTGGCTCCGGTCTGCTCCACGTCCCCCGCCCCAACCGCCCTACCATCGGTGGCCTTCAGCCTCTCAGCCCCGAGGCTCTGGAACTCTATCCCCCAGTGCCTTCGCCGCTTCCTCCCTTTCCTCCTTCAAGGCCGGTCTCAAAACCTTTCTCTTTGACCTTCAGCCTTCAGCTCCGCTCTCGACTCTCTACCCCCTTCTCGCTCCCTCCCTTCCCTCCCCTCACCCTGACCATTTCCCCCTCCTCGCTCCCTCCCTCCCCTGACCATTCCCCCTCCTCGCTCCTCCCTCACCCTGACCATTTCCCCCCTCCTTGCTCCCTCCCTTCACCCTGACCATTTCCCCCCAATGCTCGGGTCATGACCCAACTGTGCAGCGCCTTGGGACGTCCTCCTGACGTGAAAGGCGCTTTATAAATGGAATCTTGTTGTTGTTGTTGTAGAGTAAGGTAATTTGCCAAGGTTTCATTCCGACCAGACTTGCCCCGGAATCGAACCCAGGTCTCTTGCTTGTGAGTCGAGTGCTCTAACCCCTGAGCTACAGGACTCCTACGGGAAAGGGAAGACGTGGGAGAGGGGAAGGAAGGACGATGGGGGAAGAGAGAGTATGAGGGAGGAGCGCGAGGGTGGGGAGAGAGAGGGAGTATGAGGGGGAGAAAGGGGGAGTATGAGGGAGAGGGGGAGTATGAGGGGGAATATGAGGGGAGAGAGAGTATGAGGGGGAGAGAGAGGGAGTATGAGGGTGGAGAGAGGGAGTATGAGGGTGAGAGAGGGGGAGTATGAGGGGAGAGAGGGAGTATGAGGGGGGAGAGAGGGAGTATGAGGGTGGAGAGAGGGAGTATGAGGGGGAGAGAGAGGGAGTATGAGGGTGAGAGAGGGGGAGTATGAGGGTGGAGAGAGGGAGTGTGGGGGGGTGGGGGGGAGTGTGAGAGTCAGGACTGACAGTAAAGTGAGCTCCTGTTACAGGGGAAGATGGAGTTGGAGGAGACAACCAAAGTGTGGAAGCAGAAGACCCACGTGATGCGCTTTTTCCACGAGACGGAGGTGCCGCGGCCCAAGGATTTCCTCTCCCGGTTCTATAACGGTCACAATCCCTAACCTCCAGATCTGTAAATATCTAATAATAAACACTGCATTAACCCAACCTCGGCTCCCAATATGGCCTCTCGCCCGGTGTGTGCGTGTGTGTCAGACACCGGCTGGTCACGGTGACAGGTTTCCGTGTGCATTAAGAAAACCCCCACCTTCCAAAAAGCCCATAGCCACAAAAATGAGTTTTTTTTTATATTCCTTGTTTTATTCTCTTAGTTTTGTTCCAACACCACAAAAATAACCCTCAATTTGACAGCACACAACAGCTCGGTACTGAAAGACAAGTGATACAGAGACTCACATCATTTTCACACTCATCATCATTAAATAAAAATAATCTGATTGTGGGAAAGCCGGGGGGGGGGGGGGGGGGGGGGGATGCAGATAAAACAATATCAATAATTAGGGCATAACCAAATCACAGGAATATCTCCCGCTCTATCTTTTTTTCTGACATTCACTGCCCCACACAGCACCCAGATCTCTCTCTGTCCGTCACCCACTCTCTCTCTCCGGCTGCGGGAAGAGAAGCAGAACTGAGACGGGATCGACAATCAGAGCAGAGAAAGTGGCCATTTTCTCAAAGAGAAAAGACGGTGTCAAGAACTTAAAGGGGAACATCGTTTGGAGATGGATCACAAAATGGGTCCCCAGTCCACATAAAGCAGAGTTTCTTTAAAGCCCCTCACCCCACACACACACACATATTATGAAGGACACATTCCTGATCCCAGTGTTATACTCGAGCAGAGAAGGCAGACGCCAGGAAGCTGAGGACGTCTTGTCTGACAAGATCAGTACCTGAGAGAAACGAGAGAGAAACGATTCACTTTCTAAAAGCATCCAAAACAAATCATTTAATAAACCTCGTCTCACGCCTCCTCACATTGTCTCAAGGAATTACTGTAAAGTACAGTGACTGTGTATTTGTAGACCAAACTGGCAGCCAATTTACCCAAAGCAAAATGTCCTACACACAGCTGTGAAGTGAGCGAGTGATTTTATTTGGGGGGATTGTCGGCCACAGGACACCGGGAGAGAGAGAGAGAGACTCCCATCTCCTCCCTCAGCGCTGCGGGAGATCTCTAACGTCCCCCCGAACAGCGCACAGATGGGGAGTGAGGTTTAACGTCTCATCAGAAGGGACGGAGTCTCTGACAATGCGGCGCTCTCTCTCTCACGCACTTTCTCTCACTCTTTCGCTCTCTCTCACTCTCCTACACTCAGAATTTCTCTCTCTCTCTGTCTCTCTCGCTCTCAAACTCTCGCTCTCACACTCTCTCGCTCTATTTCACTATCGCTCTCACATTCTCGCTCTCACACTCACTCTCACACTCTCTCACTCTCTCTCTCTCACACTCTGCTCTCTCCCCCCAGTGCTGCACTGGAGCGTCAGCTTAGACTGTGAGCTCAGAGTCCCCCGACCTGGGGCTCGAACCCACAACCTGACTCGGAGATGAGAGAGTGAGAGAGAGCGACTGAGCTGATATTCGATACAAAATGTTCAGTAAAACGCTAGGAATAAAGGTCTGCACCGACCGGAGTTAATCATCATCATCGTCGTCAACGGGAACAAAGATATCGTGCTCTTCAAGGACAGAGGCGAAGCTCTTACTGATCTGTGTCCCCAAATACAGGAATGGGACCACCACAACCATCACCTTCATCAGCCCGAAGGACATCTGTCACAGAGAGAGAGAGGACATAGAATCGTAGAATTACACGGCACAGAGAGGCCATTCGGCCCATCATGTCTGTGCGGCTCTTGAAAAGAGCTTCCAAATCAACCCCACTCCCCCCTCTCTCCCCATAGCCCTGATCAACCCCACTCCCCCAATCCCTTCCCATAGCCCTGATCAACCCCACGCTCTCCCCATCCCCAAACCCATATATTTTTTAAATTGTTTTATTTTTTGCTTTTTATTTCCTTTTAGTTGATTTTTCCCTTAATCTATTTTACCCGTAACAATTTCTGAGTATATATGTTAACAATTTATTTTGCACCTTTTGTCCCTTGCTCACACTCCTTAAAACTTAACACCTACTTTACACCTAATTCCCCAGGAATGTACATGAGGAAAACAAATTCTCACCTGCCCCCTCTACACCGAATTCCCACTCTCACCAAATCCCTTAACAGAAGTCTCACTTTGACCCACCTACTCGCTGGGCTCTGCTGGACGTGAGGCTCTCACAAACCTCCCCTTTATATAGATCTCTGACCCAAACAGTTTCAACTGGTCAGCAAATAATTCACTAAATCCTAACGCTTGGCCTGCGACTAACTGTCAATTTGACTTGTTTACCTGTTTGCTTGAAAAGTTCTCTTTTGCTCAAGAAACAATTCCCACTCTTTTGCTGAAAGAAAGAATTCTCTTTTGCTTCCTAGTTCTCTACAGCTCAAGAATTCCCACTCTCAGCAAATTCCTCAACAGAAGTCTCACTCTGTTCCACCTCACTCTGCTGGGCTCACTGCTCGGACATCACATCGTGTCCAGAGAGAGAGAGAGAGACAGAGCGAAAGGGATAATCACGTCATGTCCACAGAGATGGCGCTGGTGTGAGTCTGGTCTGTGAGCTCTCGGTCCCCGTCTCTGGGCTCAAACCCACAACTTCTGGCGCGGAGGCGAGCAGAACCCGAGCGGGTCACCCACCCCATCACACCCACCTTATACCCCTTATTAACTCCACTTTACACCCCTTATTAACCCCACTTTACACCCCTTATTAACCCCACATTACACCCCTTATTAACCCCACATTAAACCCCTTAACTCCACATTACACCCCTTATTAGCCCCTCATTAACCCCACAATACACCCCTTATTAGCCCCACATTACACCCCTTATTAACCCCACGTTACACCCCTTATTAACCCCACATCACCCCTTATTAACCCCACATTACACCCCTTATTAACCCATTACACCCCTTATTAACCCCACATTACACTTCTTATTAACCCCACATTACACTCCTTATTAACCCCACATTACACTCCTTATTAACCCCACATTACATTCCTTATTAACCCCACATTACACCCCTTATTAACCCCACATTACACTCCTTATTAACCCCACATTACACCCCTTAGTAACCCAATAGGGCGTGGCTGGCAAGTCCCGCCCCCGCACCGCCATTGGTCGCGGCCGCTGTCACTCCGCGGCCGCGGGCTATGATTGGCTGCCCGGGCCAGGGGCGGGGCGGACCGCGCGGTGACCCCGCCTTCCGCCTCACCTTGTCGGGTTTGGGTAAAATGGCGCCGTTGCTGGTGGTGAGGGCGGCCCGGGGCGGGCCCTGCGGCCCGGGGGCCACGGGGCGTCGGAGGAGCAGCCCCCGGGGTCCCTGGGCTCCCAGCGGGGCCCCCACACCGCGCAGCGACCGCCGCAGCCAACACCTCCCGAGCGCCGCCGCCATTGTGTCAACACCACTCCCCCCGCGTCACCGTGACCCCTGACCCCCCGCGCGTCACCGTGACCCCTGACCCCCCGCGCGTCACCGTGACCCCTGACCCCCCCGGCCACCGTCACCACAGCAACAGTCACCACAGCAACAGGGAGACGATCCATTCCTGATGCCGATGAATAAATAATTGTCATCAATAATAAAAATAATTAATAATAGAAAATAATAGCAATAATTAATGATAATATTAAATAGTAACAATAATCGATAATCGCAGAGAAACCAATAATAATTAATTGTGATAATAAGTGATGGTATTGATTAATGATAATGATCGATAAATAATAACAATAAATAATAAATGTTAATTCTGGCATTTGACGTCTTGTCACCTCCTGAAGGCGTCTCAAAGCCCTTCACAGGATAAGTGTAGTGACTGTGTGTTTTGTGGGCGAAACGCGGGGGCCAATTGCGCCCGTCAGCGTTTCACCAGCAGTCGCGGGTTGAAGTGACCTGTTTTTTGGAGGTGTATTACGTGCCCCACAGTCATTTTATTATTATTATTGTTATTAAAAGCAATCCACTTTCCGGGGGTGACAATCGCCTATTAATATATTTAGAGTTCATGATTATTGTAACAATAACTTGGATTTTCACAGCAGTGAAATGGCTGAACTCGCTTCACTGGCAAGTGTAGTGACTGTGTTTTGTGGCGGCCAATTTGTGCACAGCAATGTCCCGCAAACAGCCATGAAGTGAGCAGTGAGTTTATTTGGGGAACGCCAGGAGAGAGGAGAGAGAGAGAGAAAGTCCATTCTCTTTCCTGACGGCTGTCAGCCTGACTTCCGCACTCTCTGGAAAATAAAAGCCTAAGGAGGGAAGAGAGCGAAGGGACCCAGAGGTACACACACACAACTCACGCAGGTTAATAGGGCCATAAAAAAGCAAACCAGCCATTGGGGTTCATTTTTAGAGCGATGAAAATGAAAAGCAGGAAAGTTATGATAAACTGCTATAAGAACGTTGGGTCAGTCCAGACACACACCGGGCAGTTCTGGTCCCACACTGTAGAAGGGATGTAGAGGCCCTGGAGAGGGTCAAAGGAGATTCACGAGGATGATCCCAGAACTGAGAGGTTAGACATGTCAGGAAAGGCTGAACATACTCAGACTCTTCTCTTGTAAAGAGGAGGGTGAGGGGTGACCTGATAGAGGGCTTTAAAATGGTGAAAGGTTTGGATAGGGTCAACATAGGAAGATGTATCCACTTGTGAGGGAGACCAAAACCAGGGCCGTCAATATAAAATAGTCACAAACCGATCAAATAGGGAAGTTAAAAGAAATGTCTTTTCACGGAGAGTGGTGGGAATGTGGAACAGACTACCACAAGGAGTTGTTGAGGCAAATAACACAGATGTATTTAAGGGGAAGCTGGAGAGGTACACAAGGCAGAAGGGAATAGAAGGTGATGCTTGAAGGCTTAGTTGAGGAAGGGCAGGAGGAGGCTCATGTGGAGCATAAACACTGGCACAGACCAGTTGGGCCGAATGGCCTGTTTCTGTGCTGTATATTCTAATGTAATCGATCTCGCTCTCGTCTCTGACTCAGAAGGTTGTGGGTTGCACATTAGGAGATGGAATCACATAGTCTATGCTGATGCTCCAAAACAGTGCTGAGGGGGCTGTTGTAATGTCGGAGATTCTGTCCTTCAGATGAGATGTTAAACCGAGGTCTCGTCTGCGTGTTTTCCAGCAGAAATCGATCTCATTTGTACTTGAAAGAATCAACGTTTTCTGCTTTCCCTATCTGTCTCCCGAGGGGGTCCGTCCCCTCGCTCACCAAAGTCGTGTCTCTGCAGACTTGTTCTGAATTTCCCCTCCTCTTCAAATGCAACTGGTGACTGCACTGTGGTGAAGCAAAGGGTTAAAAGCTCAGTGTCTGCTGAGGTTTCTGCTGAGTCTGTAGGCAGCACATCCCGGGATACTGTTCAAAAAAGGAAGGGAGTCTCTCTCTCTCTCTCTCTCTCTCTCTCCCTCTCTCCCGTTGTCCTGGCCAACAATCCCCCAGATAAGATTGTCTGTGACCACTGCCTCCTCACCCTCCTTGACCTCTCCGCTGCCTTCGACACAATCAACCACTCTATCCTCCACTTTATCCACTGCCTCTCCTCTCACCTGAACCCTCACAGCGCTGTCCTTGACTGGTTCAGATTGTACCTCTCACGCCACCTGCACTTCATCTCCTCAAATGGTTTCTCCTCCAGCCCCCGCACCGTCTCGTGTGGGTTCCTCAGGGCTCTGTGCTTGGTCCCCTCCTCTTCAACATCTATGTACTCCCTCTTGGTGACATCAACTGCAGACATGGGGTCAACTTCCACATGTATGTGGATGACACCCAACTCTACCTCTCTGTCTCCCCCCTCGACTCGAGGACCCACTGCTGTCTGACAGAATGTCTGTTGGACATCAAGTCCTGGATGAGAGGTAACTTTCTTCAGTTGAACAACAACAAGACCGAGGCCCTCCTGATTGGCTCCCATCAGCCCTCCACACCTCAGGCGCTGACACCATCCATGGCTGCACACGCCACCTTCCTAAGCCATGTAAGACCTTGGCATCTTATTTGACCCTCAACTATCCTTTCCAGCCCACATCTGTGCTATGACCTGCTCTGCCTTCCCCACCTCTGCAACCTCGCCTGTCTCCACTACTGTCTCACACCACAGGCCCCCGAGACCCT